CCTGACAGTTCACATCACTGTGGACAGCACAAACGTGCTGGGTTGAATTTTTTAGTGCATCGTCTTTTGACTTTCCCTCTAACACATGATAGGTTCAGAAAAGAAAGACGTACAATAAAGGAAATAACAGTCACTACCGGTTTCTCGAGGGGTATTATAGATGACATAATAAGGAAGAAGAAGTTTAGGTTAAGAATGAACGAAATCTCGACTTTCAGAAAGGTCAAAAACCAAGATAAATACATCTCAGTTCCATAGCACCAATATACGAAGAACTTTGGAAAGATTTTCAAGGAACTAAGTATAAAGGTGGTTTTTAAAACAAGTCATACACTACAGAGCCTTTTGGGAAGTCCAAAAGACAAAGTCGAGAAATTGAATGCAAGGACTGCGATGCAAAATATTATGGACAGACGAAAAGATCCATTAAAGTAAGATATAAGGAACACATAGCACACTTAAAATATCATCATATTTTGCAACAAAACCATTCCATAGACTTCAGTTCATTAAGATTAGTTAGACAAGTTAACAACAACAGGCAACTAGATGCCTATGAGAGTGTGGAAATAATTAAACACAATAAAATTATGATGACGGACCTATACCAAATAGCATACAGCTATAACATTTAAACATATATTGTTAAATAATAGATAAGGCAAAATTGTAAAATTAATTTAGGGTGGTATACCTGTATGAGTGGTACACCTGTAGGGTTTACCTGCAGTGTGTCTCACTTCTCATGGAAACACCCCCGTATCTTCCGTAATATTCGAGGTAGAAAGATGAAACTCTCAGGACTGATGGAAATGTTCAAAATGCACCTACCACCTGTATGGGGTTGGCCAAAGTGATATACACTGTCCGCCACTCGCGATGGAACACCCCATTTTCACGGTAAAACATATTAGGGGGCAAAATAGGCTCAAAAAAGCTAGCATGGAATTTTTTTGTAAAAGATTTGATTTCTTCATACAATATAGTCGCCTCCAAGGGCGATACAACGATTATAGTGTCGTACGATACCATTTTCATAGTAAGATATGTCTCCAGCCTCAGCGAGCACTTTCTTGAGGTATGAGAACAGAAAAAAGTCGCTGGGTGTCAAATCTGGAGAATACGGTGGATGTGGAAGCAACTCTATGTCAAATTCATGCAATTTTGCCATCGTTTTCATCAATTTGTGATACAGTGCATTGTCTTGATGAAACAGCACTCAATTCTTCTTCAAATTGGGCCGTTTTTCTGCGATTCGACTCTCAAACGCTCCAATAACGCTATGTAACAGTCGCTGGTGATTTTAGTGTGAAATAATACAGCTATGCTCCATCCATTGTCACATATCGATGCATAAATTGGGTTCATTATGGTTCCTTTGGTATCTTCAGAGCCTCGATCAACTTCACTTTGAGGTCATCCAAAATTATTTCGTGTACTTGTTTGATGTTTTTGTCAGTAACAGCCCCTTTGGTGTGCAACGTCCTCGGTGCTCATTTCACCTTGTTTATATTTAGGAAACCACTTCTCAACGGTTGATTTTCCTGGTATGGTATGGTGCATGTCAGAATAATGTTTATCAAGTCAAGCTTTGGTTCCACCAGTATTTGTTTCACCAAAAAGCAATGCTCCACTCAAAATGTTCTATCACCCAAACTAATAGTCCGACAGCTATGAAATTTGAACACGTGCCTCTTAAAGGTTACGCTCAACTAAAAATTATATGGATTTGATACTACTAGCGCCATCTCTGTGTTAGCCTACGAAATTTTCAGCTTACCTAATATGTTTAGAATATTCAAATATATACAGGGTGTTTTTTTAGCTGATACCACTATTGTTATCTCGGAAACAGTAGGTATCACAAGAACGGTTGAATGGAATAAAAGTTGCCTTTTTAGGAATGCAAGATAATGGTATTCTCAGATCGACAAAATCACCAACCGTTTCTGTTATATTTGCAAAAAAACTAAAAATGACAGATTTTAATTTTTGCTCTGCCGCCTCCATTTTCAATAATATCTTTATTTCATGTTTTTCATAATCTGGTCAACCCATTTTTCAATGCGACGTTGTTTCGTTTATTGATCTACCGCTTCCATTTTCAATAATATCTTTATTTCATGTTTTTCATAATCTGGTCAACCCATTTTTCAATGCGACGTTGTTTCGTTTATTGAAAACCATCATCAATTATAATGACGTTTTNTTTTATCTAGACTAATCTAGAGCAAGAAAGCAGTACATATGCCCCGTTGGAATGACTTGCTCTTGATTTGTGGAGGCAAGGATGCAGGTCGGTTCTTGATTTTTCATAGAAAACCAATTATAAGTGCTAAAAAAGGTTTTTTTGGACGCTATCTACAGATGGCGTTCAAAAATACCTCCCTTCTCAACACTTGTCACTGCAGACCAACTTAGTTACACTGTGATAGGATACACTTCAAAAATACCAATAAAATAAGGAATACGGTCTACTTGAGAGTTGAATATAAATACAAAATTATTATTATTCAACATAAATTGTCACTGGATAAATCAGAGTGACAAGGTTCTAAAATTTCTTACTCTTTTTGATAGTTGCTTCAATAGAAAAAATAACAGAGTACAGGGTTTTACCCTAAGGTTAAACCTTATAATTTTTGATCGAAATCCCATTTCTAGAAACTATCAGGGAAACTCAAGACTTTTGTTTTACACTCCTCCAGATAGACTCCTTTGATTCTTGAGATCTGGGATTTCGGCAGTCTCCAGCAGTGGTCATCTCAGACCTACACTTTACAGTGCAGCCAGACACTTCCAGGACGATCTCGTTATGCCAAATTTATTCCAGTTTTCATGCTATTAGAGGTTCTTACACTTTGATTTGTTCGAACTTGTATGCGTTTTATGTTTGCGCTTTTTATGTTTGTGTCCTTTTTATGATTTTGCGTAGCAGAATTCAGAAAGTTGGAATTTATTCTGCAACTAGTCCAATGGAGCTTTCAGACGAAGAGCGGGAGCCTCCACGTCTCGGCAGACGAAAGCTCTCATGTCTCCTGCACCTCGAGCCGGGAAGCTACGTCTTCTCCTCAAAATTCAAAAGAACCAATAGGGGCTTGCACAAGAGGAAAGGAATCGGCTCTCCCTAGTCGACGCTTTACACTAATTATCATGGCAGATTACGATGTGGAGCTATTAATCAGTGGTGTCTGCACCTGACCCGTTCTTTGGGATAAAAGTCTCGGCAAGTGTAAGGACCGAAATGAAGTCGTAAAAAATTGGGTGGAAGTTTGCAAGGTGTTCAACGTAGATTTCACAACTGTATCCATCCCATTCTTGATCGTTGACGTTTCTGTCATAGGGGTTTGTGTCGACGGTAGAGAAGGTATATGGCAACAGCTCGACTGAGCTCAAGAGCTCAAGGAGCCAAGAATGGGGAGTGTTCCTCCTGACGAAAATCAAGTAGTTTTCATAAAAGAGCTCTAAAACAACGCATTTTGAACTTATCATTTCCACCTTTTTCTTTAAAAAATTATTTAAATACTTAAAAAAGAGGAATGAAATAATGCATTCAACATTTAAAGGGATTCGTTTCTATTTCATCATTTGGAAACATCGGTTATAGCTAATAAAGGACAATGAATC